CTAAGAAAACTACACATTCACATTATCTACGTTCTATGGCATTTTAATTTATTTTTTGTTAAATATTTCCCCATTAAATCTTAATGTTTGGGCTGCACTCAGGAGGGTCACAGTCCTCATTTTCTGACCCCTGATCAAAACCAAGCCCTCATTTTACAGATGGGGAAACTGAGGCCAAGAGAAGAGAAGCAAGACTAGGCTTAAGGTGTACATGCTGGAGAGTCATGTGGAAACAGACAGGAAAGACAAAAAGGGACAAGACTGCGAAGGCCTTTCTAAGAGGCAGAGGATTTCTATTTGGTTCCTAGGCCGCTGTGGTTCGTTAACTCGGGAGTTTTTTGGCTATGAATGGGGGATGGGCTGGAGAAGAGAGAGCCTTGAGGCAGGAAGACCCCTTCCCCCAGTCAGGCCATTGCAATAGTTCAGGGGTGTGTGTGTGGGGGGGGAATGGAGAGGAGGGCTTGCCCCCCGAGCAGTGGCCTGAGCATGGGCTGGATAAACGGATCTCAAAGTCATGCCCAGAAATGATCCCTAGCCCCGTGGGAGCTGATGAGATCACCAGGGGAGATCTGAGAGAGAAGAGGGACCAGAAGAGAGCCTTGGGGAGGAAGGGGGACTTGGGCCAATGATATGAGAAGAGGGCAGACAGGTGGGGAGGAAGAACTGGCAGTGTCAGGAAAACCTAGAGAGAAGAGGACACTCGACGGCGTCAGAGGCTGCAGATGGGAACTGAGGAAAGGCCGTTCATTAGATCTGCCAGATCTAATGGAGGTCGATGGTGACTTTGAGGAGGAGAGATAGGATGACAGCCAACAGGAATGGGGAGATCAAGGGAGGGAAATAGATATGTGTGTATGTATATGTATACACATACACACATATGCAGTTTTCTTGGGAAAGATACTGGAGTGGTTTACCATTTCCTTCTCCAGGTGAGGAAACTGAGACAAACAGGGTTAAGTGACTTGCCTAGGGTCACATAGCTAAAAAGTATCTGGGGTTGGATTTGAACTCAGATCTTCCTGACTCTAGGCCTGCCACTTGGCTGCCCAGAGAGTTTTTTCAGGCACTGAGAAACATGGGCATGTTTATAAACATTTATATAGAACCTACTGTGTGCCAGGCTCTGTTACAAATATTATCTCATTTGATCCACACAACCCTGGGACTAAGGAGGTGCTATTATTATACCCGTTTTACAGCTGAGGAAACTGAGGCAGTCAGTGGTAAAGTGACCTGCCCAGGGTCACACAGCTAGAACGTATCTGAGTCCAGATTTGAACTCAGGTCTTCCTGACTCCAGACCCAGTGCTCTGTGCACTTCACCAGCTGCCCCTGTAGATAGCAGAGAAACAGCCAGGAAACAAGGAGAGGCTAAATTTAAGTGAGAGAGTAGGGATGATGGGGGGAGCAGTCTGATGGGGAATTAAATAGAGAGGGGTAGGAGTGTCTTGTCACAGTGAGGGCCCAGTGAGTTTGTATATCACAAATTTGTAGGGGATCCAGCCAATACAGCTTGCTGGCTTTCTCCCTGCTCTGTTGAGCAGTAGGTGAATCAGAAGGAAGGCAGCAGATGGGGGGTAATACAAGATTACGGTTTGGCCAGACACGATCATCAGCGGGACAAAGGGACAGCACAGAGTTGAATTAGATCATATTAGGTCCATAGAGGAAGGGAAGAGAACATAGCCAGCGTGGGATGGACGGCTCCAGGGTGGCCAGCGTGGGACGGGCGGCTCCAGGGTGGCCAGCGTGGGACGGGCGGCTCCAGGGTGGCCAGCGTGGGACGGGCGGCTCCAGGGTGGCCAGCGTGGGACGGGTGGTTCCAGGGTGGCCAGTGTGGGATGGATGGGTGGCTGAGCAAAGAACCTAATGGAGGGAATGGAGGTCAAGGTGAGGATGAGGAACAGAGTTAGGAGCTGCAAGGCAGAGGAAGGGGCGGAATGATAAGAGTGATCTGATCAGAGAATGTCCAAGTTACTAACATGGAAGTGGAATGTCTGTGGTTGATGACAAGCTCGAGGGTGTGGCCAGCTCACTGGGTCACTGAGGCAGAGGAAGTGGGAAGGTGAAGGTGTTTGAAGGAGTTTGCATATGTGTGTGGAGAAGTCCCCTAGCAGGAAGATAGGAGAGGGCTGTGAGCCCTGTACTGAACTCGTCAAGGAAGGAAGGCACGTCCTGAGAGCTCATGATAGCTGTTGTCTGCCGGTCATTCTCAAAGAGTGCCATGACATCAGGAAGAGGAAGTCATGACTTGCAAGTGAATTGGATTCCAGTGAGGCAGGGCTGTGCAGTCACCAGCCTCACTCTCTCCTCCGGAGCCATCTGGGTCCAGTGGCCAGATGTAGATCAGAAGACTGGAGATGGCCCAGGATGCAGGGGAGACCTCGGCCTTTGTTAAGCTCAGGTCTCAGACTGAGGCAGAGCCCATTCAGTGATTAAGGCTAGGTAAGCTCATAACAGCTGCCTCAATCTTGACTCGGTGATAAATTTGGACTGAAGCCAGCTAGGGGGCACCATAGTGCACAGAGCACTGGGCTTGGAACCAAGAAGACTCATCTTCCTGAGTTCAAATGTAGCCTCAGGCACTTGCTAGCTGTGTGATTCTGGGCAAGTCATTTAACCCTGTTTGCCTCAGTTTCCTCATCTGTAAAATGAGCTGGAGAAGGAAATGACAAAGCCACTCTAACATCTTTGCCAAGACAACCCCAAATGCAGTCACAAAGAATTGGACGTGACCGAAAAAACAATTGAACAAAAAATTTGGATTGAATGAATTTCAAATGAGGAGAGATTACAGAGTGATGGTGGTAGGGGGAGCGTCTGGATATGGACTCGGCCTGTGATGTAATCGGTCATTTATTAATTTGCATTTATGAAGTGCTTATGTGCCAGTCCTGCACTAAGCCCTGGCAATATAAAAAGAGGCAAATGACAGTCTCCCTAGAATTAAGAGAGGCTGGGGAAGGGAAACTCCCCCACCATGGTTGCTTGGCTCCTCTGCATCTAAGAGAGATGCCTAGAGCACTGAGAAGTTAAATGACTTGCCCAGCTCACACAGCCAGGATGTTAGAGGTGGAGTAGAAACAAAACAATCTCTACTCTGAAGCTGTTAATCGATTTTACTGGGGGAGGGGGGAGGGGCAGAAGAGAATGCCAATGGGCTTGTGACCCTCTAGAAAGGTCAGGAGGGGGCAGGGTGAATAAGTGGGGTTTGGCTCCAAGCTCTTCTGATTCCAGGTTCAGCATTTTTTTCTCTGATCCACAAGAAACTGTGTGGAATGGCTCAGTGCCAGGCTTACCTAGAACAGGGTCTGTGTAGTAAGAAGCAAAAAGAAATCTAGTCCTTAGAGTATTATAGGAATTAGTGCTGGGAGGGACCCTAGAACAGGGGGTGTCAGGGCCAGGAGGGACTTCAGAACAGGGGATGTCAGAACTGGGAGGGGCCTCAGAACAGGGAATGTCAGAGCTGGGAGGGTCCTCAGAACAGGGAATGTCAGAACTGGAGGGACTTCAGAACAGGGGATGTCAGGGCTGGGAGGGGCCTCAGAACAAGGGTTAGGGCTGGGATGGGCCTTAGCAGAGGGAATGTCAGGGCTGGGAGGTGCCATAGAACAGAGAAAGTCAGGTCTGGCAGGGGCCTTAGAACAGGGGATGTCAGGACTGGGAGGGGCCTTAGAGATCCATCTAGGGTAGGGTTGGGGAACCTGTGGCCTGCAGGCCACGTGTGGCCCTCTAGGTCCTCAAGTTTGACCCTTTGACTGGATCCAAACTTCACAGACAAATCCCCTTCATAAAGGATTTGTTCTGTACCCGAGGACCTAGAAGGCCATGTGTGGCTTCCCCAGCCTGATTCTAGGCCAACCCCCCTCATTTTACAGGTAAGGAAATGGAGCCCCTGGATGCAGGGGGAGAAGTCTGTCCAGGTTCCAGAGCCACACCTGAGAGTGGTCATTAGAGCTCTTCCCAAAGCGCTGAAATTAAGAGTTCTGCCATTTATACTTTTTCAGCAGGTAGCAGAGTGCCTGGCACAGGTGGTGCTTAATAATTTGTTTGTTGACTAGTGAGAGATAAACACATGAGCTTAGCACCTTTTTGTTTTTGGTCTAAGCCTGGGATGTCATTAGTATGAGGATCCCTAATGAGACAATCCCCTGGGTCAATGCAGTCAGCCCCTGATCCTCACCAGAAGTGAAGGAACTTGCTCAGGGCCACACAGCCAGTCTGTTACACCTGGAACTTGAACCCTGATTTTTCGGATTCCCAGCCCAGCTCTTGACCCACTTTGCCATACTGCCACACCACTGTTTTGGACAATTCCCTGGCTTATAGTAGGCAATTAATAATTGCTCCTTCACTTGACTGCTCTTCATAGCATCCAATTAGGCTGAAGTGACCTTTGGGGCCATCTGGCCTAATCACCTCATTTTATAGATGAACAAATAATTAGTAGGGCTGCTTAATTAAAATAAGAAGGTTCCAGAAGCTGAGCTTCCTCATCTCCCTCCCACAGCTCATCTGCAAACCAGGCAGGCTCCTTCCCTGTCCAGTCAGCCCTGACCGCCTCCTTCTGCTGCTGGTGATCTCTGGAGCTGAGGCTTCATGATGTCTTGTGACTTGGTTTCTAAGGCCCCTCCCAGCCCTGACATCCCCTGCCCAGGATCACAGAGCTAGTTCAGAAATCCTAAAGGCACAGCCATCCAATGGCTGGCATACCCACTGGATGGTGACCTAGGTCCTCACCTCCCCACCTCCCATGGTACTTAGTGTGCCAAGGTTCAAGGTCTCCAACTACCCACGCTTCCAACTTAATTTGTCTCTAAGAGTTGATTTGAGGACACCTTGCAAGCTGCTTGCTTTGGGTCCCAAAACTGCCAGTCAGGTGATTTCTCTCAAGGTCATACAGCTATTAAATACTACAGCCAGAACTTGAGCTTACATCCTCTTTGCTTTCTAAAACTCTTCACCAGTTAAGGAAGGATATTGGGAGGACACTGGGACATTGGGAGGGCGACCAAGATGACAAAGGACCAGGAATTCATGCCACAGGGAGACTGAATGAAGGAACGTGACAGGTCTGCCCTGGACAAGAGAAGGCTATAGTGTGGAAGGCTGATCTTTCTGTAGAGACTCCTTCTTTTACCCTGCACTGAAGAGTGCCAGGCAGAGACGAGAGGATGGGAGGATAGATTTCGATTTGCTGCTCCAAGGAGTCAAGGTAGGTCCTTGGACAGGGTAAGGACACAGTGAAAAAATGTTTAAGGAAGATTATATATGCAACAGTGTAAAACGGAGATCCTGGGAAGACCATCTAGGAGACCCCTATACTAATCCAGACCTAAAGTGAGGGTGCTCAAACTGGGGAAGCAGTTTGGGAAAGAGGAAGAAAGAGAGGATTTAAGATTGGGTGGAGGAATAGGGGATGTTTAGCCTGGAGACTGAGAAGAGGAGAGGAAAGGGGCAGGGAGGGGAGAGGAGGAGAGAAAAGGACAGAGGAGGAGAGAAGTGGAAAGAAGAGAGGAAGAGGAAGAGAGGGGAGGGGAGAGGAGGAGAGAAGGACAGAGGAGGAGAGGAGAGAAGGTGAAGGGAGAGAGGGAAAGGAAGGGAGCAGAGGGGAGGGGAGGAGAGAGGAGAGGAAAGGGGAGGGGAGAGGAGGAGAGACAAGGACAAGGGGAGAGGAGGAGAGACAAGGAGGAGAGAAGGGAAAAGGAGAGGAGAGGAGAGAGAAAGGTAAAGGAGGAGAGGGGAGAAGAAGAGAAGAGAGGGAGAGGAGGGGAGGGGAGGGGAGAGGAGGGGAGGGGAAGGGAAGGGAGAGGAGAGGAAAAGGAGAAGAGAGAGGAGAAGGGAGGGGAGGGGAGAGGTGGGGAGGAGAGGAGAGTTTAGATAGGATGGAGATGGAGCAGCAAGAGAGCTGTCTTCAAGTATTTCAAGGACTATAGGACTGTCTTCTGGATGAAAGACTGTGTGTGCTAAGCACACATATGGTGTACTAAGGGCTGGGGGTGCAAACAGTAAAATCAAGCCAGTTCCTGGCTTGTTCGGGAGTTGGAGTTGTTCAGGTGTTTCAGACATGTCCGACTCTTTGTGACCCCATTTGTGGTTTTCTTGGCAAAGATACTGGAGTGCTTTGTTGTTCCTTCTCCAGGTCATTTTACAGATGAGGAAACTGAGGCCAACAGGGTGAAGTGACTTGCCAAGGGTCACACAGCTAAGTAAGTGTCTGAAGCTTCTGACTCCAGACCCAGCACTCTGTCCACTGCACCACCTACTGGCCCCCTAGAATTGGAGACCACACACAAAAGACAGTTTAGCTGCAGGGAGATGAAGAGGTTCAGAAATCCTAAGGGAGCAGCCATCGGGTGGATGGCAAGTCCTTAGCTGCATCAGTGGACCAGATGTCAGTGCTGCATAAAGAGGTCTTCCATGTCACTTGAAGGAATTGAGTTGTTGACCTCCACCTCATCCAAGCCATGTGAGCAAACAGCAACGGTGCCCCTAGTGGTGGCAACTAGTCACTACCCTTCCTTGGGCCGACCTCATTTGGGTTGGTGGGGAAGGGGCCGAGAGGGAAGGCAAGAGAGGAGGGTACCCTAGCTAACAGCAAAGCCTGGCCATTTCGGATGGATTCTAGGGTAGCCTGGAATGGGTGAGGCGGAAGAGAGATGTAGGAAAGTCAAGAGGGGAAGGCTGTGGCGGTGGCAATGTGGTCATAGAGAAACGTTCTGCTTGGCCCCAAGGTTCGGACTAGCAGCGATCCAGCTCAAAGAGCATTACGTGCCCACTCTGTGCTAGGACCTGTAATAAAAAGACAGAATTTTTTTTTAAAAACCTCCTTACCCCCAAGGAATTCACATTCTTCTAGGCAGAGGGGCAGCAAAAAGGCAGAAAGCTAAAGTGGAAAGAATGATGGGTTTGGGACTCAGTTCAGAACCTACCTCTGCCACTCAGTCTCTGTGACCTTAGGCAAATCACTGGGCCTCAGTTCCCTCACCTGTAAAATGATGGTGTTGTACAAGATGACCTCAAAAGTCCCCTCTACCTCTAAATCTGTAATATAGATCCTAAGGAGCAAATTTAGGCTTGATGTCTGGAGAAAGTTCCTAATGATTTGAGGTTCCCCGAAGTGGGGTGGGATATCTCGGGATGCAGCGGGCTTTCCTTTTCAAGAGGAAAGGCTAGATGCCCGCTTGGGATGGGGGAAGGGTAACAGGGGAGCCTTGCCCAGGTGTGGAAGGAACCGCACGACCTTGGAGGTCCCTGGCTGTGCTGGGATTCTGAGCGTGAAGGCGGAGAAAACAGTGGAGGAGATAGGAGGCGGGAGAAAGCCAAGCACAGAGGTCCCAGCCAATCAGGGCCAGGGCTTTGGGGAGCTGAGGGGCGCCCCGGCATGGGTCCTGGGAACTGAGAGCAGACTAGGGGCCCGGTGGCAGCAGGAGCCGCTGCAAGCCAGCACACGCGTGGCATCAGAGCCAGGCGGCGCACGTTGCCACATGCCAGGCAGACTAAAAAGAAACCTGCGCAGGTCCCTCGGCCCCGCGGGCTGTCCTAGCTTGAACCTGTAGGGCTAGCTCCTAATTACAAGGGGTTTTAGTCAGACCCAAAGGAAAATGCCCCGTCCGCTGCGGGTGAGATGTTGAGTGTGCTTGGGTGCTCCTGCCTGCTGGGATGGGCGGGCACCAGGGTTGCCCAGGGCTTTGGTCCTGAGTTTTGTTTAGACTCAGTCTGCTTGGCCCGCGGGCGAGACGTGCCCAAGACCAGGTTGGGGGGAGGGAGGAGACAGGGTGGCTTCAGTTTAAAAGAAAAAAGCCCACTTCTGCTAAACACACACACACCGACACGCACACAGAGCCAGACACAAACACAACCTACCTACCAGGAGCCAGCGATCAGCCTCCGAAAAGAGCTTCCATTCTATTTCTGTTTGTGTGTTTTTCCATCCTACTTCTAGAGCTTGTCTACTGAAGGGGCACAGGTAGTTCTCCTGCCCTTGTTAGAGAGGAATCTCCCTGAGCACAGGGGTGATTTGTGCCTTTCTTTTTATCGCCAGGGCTTAGCGCATAGCCTGGCACATGGTAGGAATTTAATAAATGCTCATTGATCTATAAGCACCTACTGTGTGCCAGGCTCTGTATTAGGTGCTGGGAAGGGGAAAGGAGAAGGGAATAAGCTTTTATATAGTACCGACTAAGTGCCAGGCACCGTGCTAAGTGCTCCACAACTTTGCTCTCATTTGCTAGAGACACAAGTACGAAGAATGAAATGATTCCTACCCTCGAGGAGTTTACATTCTTTTTTTTTGGTGGACTGAGACAGGAGGGCTCTGAGTTCAAATCCAGAGCAGATGCAAGTGACTTCGCCTCAGTTTCTTCATTTCCTTTCAGCTGAGGGGGTTGTGCAGCTCAAAAGAGATGAATAGCTTTGCAAATGTTCAGGTACGAGATCCGCCACCAGACCAGTGGGGATATATGTCTACACCACACGTATGCAGATATGCAGATTGCTAGGTGGGGAGTGGCGGTAGCAAAGGAGAGGTCTCAACCACCCAACTGCTTTAGGCAGAGGAGGGAGGGAATACTTTGCAGGTGTGTAAGGGGGAATCAGCGAGGACATCCCTGAGGAGGCCTCAGCAGGACTGAGCCTCAAAGAGCTTAAGCCCCCCTTTTCCGCTTCCTTTTACCTGCCGTTTTCCTCCATTAGAATGTAAGTTCTTTCAGGGCAGGGACTGTCTTTCTTCTTGTATTTGTATCCCACCCGTGCACAGTAAGTACTTAATAAATGCTTTGTGATAAAGGATGTAAGGGTGATAAAGGAATACACAACAACCTGATAGAACTGTCCGAAAATGGCACGGATGCCTGGCTAAGCAGTGAGCTACTAGTCCCTGGAGATATCCGAGCCGCAGCTGGCTGACCCCAGATTTCGGTTAAGAGGGGATTTCTACTTGGGCTGGACTAGACAGAATTATTTTCGAGACCTCTTAGTTTCATTGGGTTCCTAGTCGATGTTTTAACCTCTCTGGCCTCAGTTTCCCAGTCTGTAAAATGCGTAGATAATACCTGATGGTCTCTCCCATAACCACATAGTAATGATTTTGCATATTCTTGTAGTTGGCTATATATGCCATTTCCTCAGTGAGAATGTAAGCGATGTGGCATAGTGGACAGAGTCAGGAAGAACTGTGTTCACATCCAGGCAAAGACGTTTACTACCTATGCCACCCCGGGCACTTTGCAGATCTTAAAGCGCTGGATCGGTGCTAGTTATTATTTGTTCGTTCGTTTGTTCACTTATTTATTAATTGTTCATTCATCCACGCATTTGTCTCCTCGAGGGCCAGCCAGGCTTGTTTCACCTCTGTACAGTTTCTAACACATATGATAAACCTTAATAGATCCTCTAATACGGCGCTCCTGTGCCCAGTGGGTGGGGTGAAGGGAGGGCAGTCTTGCCCCATCTCTGCTCCTCTCCAGATGGCTTCTGCTTACCATCCTTCCCTTCCAGGCATCTCCACCTCCCGCATCCCCATCACTTGTTTGTCCTGCCCCTCCTCCTTGGACAGACCAATTGTGAGCATGCATCCGTAGGATGGGCGGGGCCAAGAGCCAGCACCTCCTTCCGAGCTTAGATGAGCGAACGACAGGAGTGGTTACCGAAGGTACTCGTCCCTAGGGGGCGGAGTCTAGGAGCCTACCAGGCGGGGTCCTTCGGGGGAGGGGCGGGGCTTGGTGAAGGCGCGGTTGCGGTGCCTTAGAGTGCGCATGCTCCACTCCAGAGGCAGAGGCGGCTCCTGCCTGAATAAGTGGGTGAGTATACTAATGGATGACTCCTCTGGGCGCGGAGGCGGGTTGTGACTCTATGACTGAGCTTCTCCGACCCGGCGGGCGGGGAGGGGGCGTGGGGCGTGGTTGGGGCGGGCGGAGGCGGGGCCTCTGAGAAGTGGGCGGGGCGCTCTGGGGGCGGAACTGTAAGGAAAGGCCTGAGCAAGTTGCGCAGGCGGGTCACGAGGAGGGGGCGTGGCCTCGTAGGAGATGAGGCGCATGCTTGGGACCTCTGGAAAGTTGGGCGGGGCCGTGTTGGAGGGACTGAGCGGCCCCTCCTCTGCTGAGCAGGCGCACGAGGCGTGCCCGCGTAAGGGGGCGTGGCCCAGCCGGAGGCGAGGCGCATGCTTGGGGAGGGGCGGAGGTGGGGCGAGAGGGGGCGGGCCGCACGTGGGAGGCGGGGCCCCTGGGGGGCGGGCCCTGCGGGCGGGGCGGGGCGGGGCCGGGCAGACTGTTGGGGCCCCGAGTCCCGCTCCCATGGCCGGCCCCGGCTCCCCGCGCTCCCCCTGCTCCCCCGGGCCGCGCCCCGGGGCCCCGCACTGACCGGCCCATGGCGCCGCCCGCCGCCCGCCTCGCCCTGCTCTCTGCCGCGCTGGCGCTGGCCGCCCGCCCCGGACCCGGCCTCGGACCCGGACCCGGACCCGGACCGGCGCCCGGTGAGTGACCGCGCCTCGCCCCGCGGCCACCAGCACCAGCTCGGACCGGGGCCGTGCGGACCCCCGCCCGCCTTACCCCGGAGGAAGCTGAGGCTCCCCGCAGGACCCCGGAGGAGGGGGGTCCGGGCGCGGGAGGGCGGGGGTCCTGGGGCCCCGGGACGGCTGGCACGGCTTTTTTACAGGTGGGGAAACTGAGGTCCAGAGAAGGAAAGTGGGGTGCCAGACGGAGAGCTCGGGGCTCCTGAGAATTTGGCTGGGGCGGGGGAGAAGCCCCGCATCTGGGGTCCGAGGACCTGGGTCCAGAGCCTGTCCCTGCCCCGTAGTGACCGACTGCAGGACTGACCTTGCCGCATGGGATCGGTCAGCAAGCATTTGGGGGGGGGGTATTAATACGTGTGTGATTGCGTGTAGAGGTTTTGTATAAAGTGTGTAGACAGATATGTGTGTGGATGTACATAGTGTTTATATATATATATATACACATACATACATAAACACATGGATCATATCTGCATGTAGATGTGTCAGGTATTGGGCAGGGCACCCCGCTGTTCTGAGCCTCGGTTTCCTCATCTTCCGCTGTGAAATGAGAGGTTGGACTAGGGAGCCCCGGGAGGGCTTACCCTCTCTGAGATCTGTGACCCTAAGATAGATACCAAAGCCAATGTTCGGTCCTCCTTCCCCTCTGGGGGTGGGGTGAGGTGGGGAACTTCTTGGGGAGCCTGTCCTGGGGGTCCCTGGATGGCTCTGCCCCTGAGAGCTCTGCCTGCAGCCCTTAAGAACAGCGAGGAAGCAGAGGACCGTGAGGCTGTGTTTGGTAGTCTCCACTTTCTGGAGTTGAGGTTGGAGCAGATCTGAGAAAGAGCTGCAGGTCAGACTGTCCAGAATGCTGGGGTCCCAGCCCCTTCTGGGCACCCTCCTGGCCCTCTTTCGCCTCCTGGAACCCTTCCTAGCCGGGTACACTGGCCTTTATGTAGCTTTATTCCTTCAGAGGAAGCCAGATTCCTCATGTGTGGTGCTTTTTGTCAGGGAACACACCCCGTTTTGCCAGGAGATAGAGGGTGGTGTCCAGAAATATGAGTGGCAGCCTCCTAGGCATCATTGCCTGAAGTCCCCTTAACTCTTTCGACTCCCCCCCAAAGGGCAGACTGCTGGGGAGGGGGTGCTGGGCAGCTGTCCAGCATGAGGTGCAGCCTGTGGGGGGGGGACAGGAGGGGCCCTGGGCTGGGGGCTTTTTAGCCTAATGGACAGATGTGCAGTATTGAGCTATGACTGTCACTTTCCCAAGATAGAGCAGGACCTGCTCCATTGGGACTTCACTGTAATTAGGGTAAAGGGAACTAGCCCTGTGTCTGTCCTCAGACAAAGCAAAATAAGCTCTGAGGTGGGGCACCCAGAGGTGAAAGGGAGACTTAGATAGTCTTCTTTCCAGCAAAATCATTTATGGAGTGAAAGGACCAGAGGTGCGGGTGGAAAATGGGGCTGTTTTGTGTTTATTCACGAATTACTTGGAGGTTAGACACTCACCTCTGAGCACTTTGAAGGGATGGGAAAAAAGTTTACTTGGAAGCCCTTCAGAAGGGGAGAACTGAAGTCTTCATTCCTCAGTTTCAATACTGATCTAGGATATTTGAAAAGCAGGGATTTAAAAACAAAAGAAAGCAGGGCAGTGCCCAGGATGTTTTTCCTAAGTCTGTCTAGAATGCTGGGAGATTCTTGTTAGCTCCAAACCTCTTAGAAGGGAAATTGCTTTGGCAGCCCATGGAATGGTCAGCCTCTCAGCAAGCATTGACCAAGGGCTCTGAGAGCTAGGTGCTGTGAATACACAGACAGCTGAAGATGTCTCAGTATCCCTGATGGGTCAAAAAACCCCTTCCCTGGAAGTTTGGAAAGCATCTCTTCTGAATTTTCTGGGCCTCAGTTTTCTCATCTGTAAAATGAGAGCATTGTTCCACATGACCCTTCTTGCTCTAACATTCTATATGTATATGTTATGTATGACGTGCCTGAGGGGTTTTGTGTTGTCTGAGAAGTCTAGGACTTAGCAACAGAACAGTGACTTGGTAACCCTTTAATTTCACATTTCCTTCTGTGTGGTCTTGGGTGTGTCAATAGGATAGAGGAGGGGATGAAAATACCTGGGCTCACCTTTGACCCAGGACCGAAGCAGTAAATGACCCGGGCTCTTATCCTTCTGGGTAAGCAGTACTTGGCTGGAGAGTGGACTCATCTCCTCAATGATACAAACTTGCTTGGTTTCAAATCGGGTAAATTGAGTTCTTAAGTGATCCAAAGCCGGGACCCTTTTTTTGGTGAGGGTAAATGAGCTGCAAGAAGGGGGCACTGCCCGAGCCAGAGTCCAGAGTCCCTGCTTATCCTCCAAAGCCACCGAGGACACCAGCCCTGGGCTTTCACTGTCCTTTCTTCTTCCAGCACATTTCCAGGGAGAGCTCCCGTTGTTTGAAGGTCACCTCCCGAGTGTTACCCACCAGTTTCCAAACTGAGCTTCAATAAAAAACCCGTCTCACTCTGAGGCTCTGCCAAACACATCATTTTATTATTTTTTTTGATACTATAATTTTCTCAGAGTTTTGTGGATGGAAAAAATTATTTCAATGCTTAGGGTCTGCGCAATATTGCAATATTTAAACTACTGGTGGTTTGCATTTCTGAAGTCTGGCTTTAAAGAAGCAGCTATCTCATTCCCCTCCCTGCTACTTCTCATGGTTGGCTCTAGCCAGCCCCAGATCTCCAAGCTTTCCCCTCCTTCAGGAATGACGGGGAGGAAGGCCGAGCTTGCCCGTTTCATCCTGATCCTCATCTGATGGCAGGAGAAGAGAAGAACAAAGACCATGCTGGGAGGCCGCATCTGGCTGCTCTGGGCATCTGGATGCAGTGGGTCCTCCCACGCCTTGTGGAGAGCTCCTCCAGGGGGCTGGATTCAGTTTTGCTCTTCCCGTGGCAGCTTTGCATCCTAGCGCTGACCACGCGCCTCAGTGCTCTCGTCTTCACGTGTGAGCAGAGGCAGCTCCCAAAGCAATCTCTTGAGTCAGAGGACCCAGCTTCCAGTCCCTCCTCTGCTCCTCACTGCATGGGTGACCGTGGGTGCTGGTCCTGCCAGCTTGGATCTCTGTCCTCTGGGGTCCCTTCACGCAGTAGGCCTATGATCCTACGGTCAGCCTTGAAAGCCATGTGGCGTTCATGCTGTCAGCCACTGAAATCACCTCGTTTGAACTAACTTGAATCTATTCCTGGGCACCTTCAGCTGCCCAGCAAGCTGCATGGAGAGGGAAGGGCGGTGGCCCCCCGTGAGCCCTGGATTGGAGTTTTGGCTTAGGCGCTTAATATCTGTGGGCCCTGGGACAAACCTGTTGGCCTGCATTGTCTGCTCTGTAAAATGGGAGTGATGTGACTAGCCCCGTCTTCATGCCTGTGTGCAGGGCTGATGGGAGGCAGTGTGGTGTGGTGGGAAGAATTCCGGATTGGGAACTAGCTGTTCCTTTCTCTGTACCTCAGTTTCCTTACTTGTTAAATTAGGGATTTGGCCTGGATGACCCCTAAGGACCCTTCTGGCCCCATGATCCCACCTGGGCACCTCTAGGCCAGTTGCTTCTCCTCTGTGGGATCCAGAGTGGTGGTGCAGTGGGTGGGACGCTGGGCTTGAAACAAGAAGACTGGGGTGCAAGTCCTGCTGCTGACCTGTGCTGACTGTGGGATCTTAGGCAGTGGAGTCATGGAGGCCCGAGTTCAAATTCTGCCTCAGCCAATAACTAGGGCAAGTCACATCCTTTCTCTCTGCCTCAGTTTCCACACCTGTAAAACGAGGCAATTGGACTAGACGAGGTTCCTTCCAGCTCCAAGTCTGTGGCGTGTGCATGGAAGTGTCGCAGACGCCAGTGGGGCAGATTGAGTCCAGCCTGAGCCCTTGGAGTTAGGGGGGGCATCTCTTCATGCCGTGAGCACATGGTGCAGATCGAGGGAGGAAAGAGCCACCAACACCCCCCTGCACAGAGGCCGGGGATGACCCTCGGGCACAGAGCAGGGCAGGAAAGGCCTGAGCACAGCCTCAGCGCCCCGAGGCCGACAGAATCCCAGCCCGGCTTTGTGACATTGGCCACCCAGCTGTGGCGATAGTCACAGAGGGATGGTGATCAGAATTGATGGAGGGAATGCCCAGTCTGCTTTTAGTACAAGATCCTTGAAGGCCGGAGGCTGCTCTCTAGGAACCCAAAATACCAGGACCCTGTGCCTGTGGTTTGGGGAGTTGAAGGAAAGGGAAGCTTTCCTCAAGCATCAAGGGCTCTGGGTATTTTTGCTTCTGGTCACTTAAAAAGCCCAAATCTGTGATGAGTTGTGTCCATTTTTAGGAAGACCTAAATTGGGCTGGCATGTTTTGGCTGCCCCATAGGCAGGACCGAGGCCAGAGGCTGTCTGTGCTTTGCCTAGCACCAGGGCAGGCATGTGCTGTAGGGAGCTGGGGGCTGTAGGCTCCTGCGCCAGTGGCCCAAGGCTAGCCTTCCTCGGTTTCCCACCACTCCATCTTTGCTCAGGCTCAGGCTCGCTCTTCCTTCTCTCCCCTCCCTCTCGAGATCCCAGGCTTCCTTTGGGAGGCCCCCTCCCACTCCCAAGGGTTAAAGTGTCTCCCTGTTGACATGGCTTTGTATGGGTTTGTATGGATGATAAAAATAACACAAGCTGGCATTTCTGTGTTGCTTCAGGTAGCTGGAGGAGCACACGGAGAGGGCTGGGCCTGGACTCAGAAGACCTGAATTCAAATCCAGCCTTCAAATACTGCCTAGCTGTGCACCCCTGGGCAAAGTCACTAAACCCTCTCTGCCTGAAAATACGGGGGTAACCAGAGCCCCTGCCTGCCAGGGTCGTGGTAAGGACCACAGGAAGTAATCTTCATCCAGCACTTAGCACAGGGCCTGGCATGGAGTAGGTGCTGGGTCAGTGGGAGCTATCACTATTGTTGACGGTACCACCTGGCTGTCACTACT